CCACATTGAAATTAACTTTCCGCAATGTAAAAAAGAAATCAAAGCACTTTGAACCTTCTCAAAATAAAATAAAATGGTTTTAGTTGTGGACATATGAACCACAGTTAATTAAACCGCGTAACCTGTTGCGTCAGTTCCACCGGGGACATCGCAGCAATCGAATCGTCCACACTTATATCCTGACTTTTCATACAATGATATTGAGTAAGATTTTATTTGTCTAGGAGCATGTGTGCAGTGACTCTGATGCTGCTGCTGCTGAATCGCCGTATGCGGTTCGTCCGGAAGGCGCTGGGGCGGCCGCAGAGGTTGGCAGGTGGGTGACGGGCGGGGCGCAGTGCAAAGGGTTGCACCGGGACGCCTAATGGGCCTAGCGGACCCTGAGGGCTCGTCTAGTGGGTACCGTTGTGCGAAAACAGGTGCCCGCCGCCAACCACTCCACCTTGCAACTGCTCGCCGTCCCCTCGCCCTCCCCGCACCGCCGGCCCGTCTGGAGGGAGGGCCAGACACATCATAGTTACGCCCACCCCCACCTATCCCCCTTCGATGCGCTAGCATACCTGGCTATCTGCAGTCTGTCATGCGGCCCCCTCCAGACACCCCCGCAAAGTGTGTGTGTGTGTGTGTGTGTGTGTGTGTGTGTGTGTGTGTGGTTGTGTGTGTCTGTGTATGTATGTATGGCGCGTGCCCTTACAGGGGGTTACCGTGCTGATGGCCTAATCGCCTATGTTCTCTAACGGTGCCGGGTTCTGAAAGCGCACAGGATAAATTTTACTTATCGGCGTCAAAAAATATATAGTTCAAGATTTTAATTTATAATCACTTTTTCTTTTGGCCATTATCTCCTCATATTCTCCAAAGCTAGAGAAATCACGGCTTTAAAAAGTTAGAATTGTTGGCACTCGGCCGCCGTGTCGGGCCTCCTCGACGCGCCTGCATACGTACCGGGTGTAACTGTGAATGCGCAGCAGTGTTGCGGGTTTGCCTACTCTTTACACCCGTAAGGGGCCATGGCCCTTGCGGCCATATTGGGTATGCAATCCCGCAACACTGCTGCGTATGTATTCACAGTTACACCCGGTACAGGGTGTGCAGCCGACTCCGGAGCGCTCGCGTTGCCTATGCCCGACTATGCGGGCGCGCGGCCCACTCGCTACACTCACTCGCCGCCCAGCCGCTCGGCTCGGCGCATCGGCTGCTCATCTAGGCGCTAGGCCATGAAAGGCAAAGGAGCATTCATGCGGAAGGCGGGGTGCATCTTCCAGAACGTTAATTTATAGGATTTTGAAATTATCTGCGATGTTTTGAGAAACATGTCTCGCGGTCTCGGACATTTTGGGTATTGAAGAAAAGATGACTCAAGATGTTGTTTAAGTTATTCTGGATAATATTGCATCGAGCATATGTACAGTACAGATATATTCCCATTACAGATTCATATTTACAAATTCAAGTGGTGTGGGACAATGAAACTCTTCCCTAGTAACATGAAATTGCTGATTTCCATCAACAATATCATGTTACTAGGGTAAAACAAAAGATATACAGTGCAAGTGCAATATGTTGAAAAAGTTACGCGTTCGTTGAAACCTCTAGCAGTCCTCTGTCGTTGTAGTAGAAGATTATTTCACACACTTTTGTTTTATCTCTGCACAGCCTCGTGGGCAAAAAGCCCCATGCAGTGACTCCGCTGGTCCGGAGTCGCTTCATGGGGCTTCTGCGTTTGGGGTGGTGGGGGGTGATCATGTCTATGGCATGGGATCACTAATGATCGTCTTTTTCCCTATGTTAAAGTTTAATGATCGTTTGATTCCGTATAGTATTCTACTTACATAATAATTTTGCATTTTCTGAACCATATTTCTAGCGAGGCATGCGGATATACGCCCACTTAGAGTGGTCCTCTGAACAATACTCGTCAGCGGGATGGGAGGAAAGTAGAACCCGGTGTTCTTCGCCTCCTGAATTGAGCTCTTGGAGGAGGCACCCCAGTGAACATTCCTTGCAAGTCTCACTGGGGCAGTCGATTCCACGGCATAAATCCCCGTCCATCAGGATCCGAATATGAAGCAAGGGATTCGCTGAGAAAGCAGCATTGACTGCGCTTCTGTGCAGCCAGGCGTGGAAGCATCCCTCTTCTTCAAGCCAAAGCTTCTCCTTCATGTCAAATACGAGACACCGTAGGGCCGGCGCCGCATTCATACTGAGCAGCAGTTGGTCGTCCGGCCAGCCGCGGTATCCGCGCAGGGTGAGGAGCCGCAAGGCGGGCAGCGAGGGCAGCGCGGACACCAGGGACTTGAGAGGGGCGAAGTCATCCAGCCGGGGCAGCTGCAGCCCATAACCTCCACACTCGATGTCTAGCGACTCCACGCAGGGGCGTAGGGCTCGGACCAGGTCCGCGGCCTCGGGGCTCAGGTTGCCGTTGGCGTACCGCAGGGTGACTGAGCACAGCTGCGTGGCGCGTCGGAGGAATGCCGCGGCCAGGGTCATGGACCAAGGACACAGCTCCTCCGGCCCCAGCCACAGGAACACTTCCCTCAGCGACTTGCACGCAGCCACGGCCTCTAAACCGGGGAGCGGGGGGCAGGCTAGTGTGCGAAGATTTGGCATGCCGCACAGCAGGGACGTTATCGAGGCTGGGTTAAACAGGCTCAACTCGGGGAGGTTGTCGCCTCCGATGTCGACTACCTCCAGTGTGGCAGCGTGTGAGCCTAGCACGTATCTGCAGAAAGACTCCGATGCCGCGGAGTTCAACATATGCCTGAACGTCTTCAGGGACGGTGTGACCTCACCGCCTGTAAGATCAGGATGTGGTGTCATTGTATGCACGGTTGTAAAGACATGAACGCGTAGCTCCTGCAGCCTCGCCGACGTCACCTCGCTGAGCAGCTCGCAGTCGATATCTCGATCGATATACGATACGAACAGGGCCAGTCTTTTCAGGCGGCCGAGAGCTGCCTGGTTGCGGATGATCAGTGTGGCGTGGTGAATGCTCTCGGCACTCATGGCGCTCTTGTCGAGAGCCAGAGACAAATCGGCCACGGCGCACGTGGTCGTCGTCATCGTCTGCATCCAGGAACAGGACTGCCGGGTCCGGGAGAGGTGGACAGGCCACCGGGCCAGGCAGGGCGCCAGACGCAGAATCGCACAGGCGCAGGGGACACCGTTGAAACGTTGGCGCCGCCACACATCTGGGTGCAGGGCAAGGGCCGCAATCCTCTTGCACACGAGGCGGCATGCGAGGACACTCTTGACGTCCAGGTATGACATCACCTCCATCAGCACGTCATCCGGCAGCTCAACCAGCTCCATGCTCTGAAAAGACACGGATGCGGTTTAGAGTGAGTGGAACTCAGGCTGAGCACACAGTAGCAAAAACGCCGAAAACTTATGTGCAGCCTTACCTATGGTTGAATGTTGTGCGGTGGCTTGGCGCGCTGACCCAAGCGAAGAGATCCTGCCTGCGGCTCAGCCGGGCCACAACTGAGGAGGTAGTAATGAGAGGGAACACGAGACACCCGGCTCGGCCTGCAGGACGTCGGTTTGAAGCAGCTTGCCCTTGCCCTTACCCTCACCGCCGGGCGGCTCTATGCTAGGCTCGGCGGCCTGGGGATCGTCTTCGGCGTCTTCGTGCGGTAGGGGAGCAGCCTACTTTACATTACAAACTAATTCCACCCCGTGCCCCTCCAGCCAGCACCCGATACACGCCGCTGTCCGGCGGCTCGAGACGGATCCAGCTCAGATGGAAGAGTGTGCAAGGTCGCGGGGGTTGAGGAGACGGAACGCCGCCGCCGTGGTGTGGTGAAGTGTAGCGGACCTGCTGATTACTGCATCCTCTCTATCATTACTTATCATGTGTGTGTGTGTGTGTGCGCGCGCGCGCGTGTGCGCGTGTGTGTGCGGCACGGGCCATTCGCACTAGGATATAATAAGGGTGCAGCCACCCCTGCGAGGCACGTGTGCGGAGCAGGAGGAGGCGAGACGCCGGGAGGAGGAGCTCCCCCCTCCCCCTTCTCGCCCCGCTTGTCATTTGGACTTCTTCTGCCGGGCCGCCCGCGCGCCATTTGACCGCCTGGCGTTGCGCGTCGCGTCGTGATGAGCGTCGCTATTGTGAAGGAGAGGAGCAGGACACGGTGCCTGAGCTCACGTCAGACCAACCCCCTCACAGCCGTCATGGTGGACAAGGCGACAGCAACTGTCGGGTAGCTGCTCGCGCGGCGTCGCCACGTTCCGACAGTCCAAGAAGTATTTATCAAAGAGCTACTTATCACACAGTAAAAAAGTATTTTAAAAACTGTATTAAAATAAAACAGCGGATTTCTTTTTCGATTCTCGTTCTAACGCGGACGCGCCATGCCACTTTGCATCCCCGATGTGAGTCCCCGGAAGCACACTGAATGCAGCAGGACTCCAAGGCGGCACAAGGTGCTTTTAGCATAAAAGTACCCCCGCCCCCTCCCCGAGCCGCCCGACCAATACTGCAACCACCCGGCAGTCGCACTTCATTTTCGGAGCGTTCATGGGTATGTGTTAATATGGCAATTTGGGCAAGGAAAGGAACCTTCCGCGAGGCTTCTCTCACTTCCACAAGTTGAAGATACTTCATCTTTTTTTCCGCCTTTTTTTGCGCGGAACTGCGCCAACGCGTGCCGAGTGCCACAAGGGGTAAGGAGTGGCGCGGCGCTACAGGGTCCTTATTGGATTGCACCTGCCGGCCGATGTCCTGTGCCGCTGCCATGGTAGGGCCCCGAGGAGGGAGGGAGGGAGG